AAAATATGTAGTTTGTATTAATGACAAATTTTAACTGTAACACGTCTTAGGAAAATTATTGATGATTTTTTATACATACCGTGTCCAGACTTTGTTAGTACACTGTTTGGTTCCCAAAGGTGTGCAGGCAAAAATTCCGTCCTGTTCTTGAAGTAACACTGGGTTCCTTTCGGTTGCGCTTTGGAACCTCTCGGAATGTGACCAGACATGAAAATTCCACAATTGCATCCCAAGCTCACCTCTGGCTTAGATTCATCCTCTTCAGGAATAGCCAAGCTTTTGGCTCGTCTTTGGCTTTTTCTTCGTTCCCAAGATCTTTAATTTCCGTTACTGCTTTGTTCAATTTAGTCTTATTGCTCTCGATTGCTTTGCTGGCCTGCGTTTTGCTTTGATTTTGCCTGATCGACGTTTTTTTTTGCCTTTCGCTGTTATAACATTAGTTGTACATCTGGCCTAGAGTAGGCCACTGCGCAGAGTGCAATCAAAACAATTAAGCAAAATTGGAACTTCATATTTTTCTAAAATACACGAGTAGTCCCCATTAAATAACACACTTAAATTCGCTTAAATAGTCAAAAATATTATATTAACATATTTAATATTTTCTAACTTACCACTTTTATATCACTCCTCACCACAAATAACTTTTTAACACTGATACTTAGAGCAACTACAATTTCTAAATATATATTATTTTTTTTGCAAGCTTGCACATTTATATTTACAAAAGTATCATTGCATTCTATTATCTTTCAAAATAAATGAAACATATGATTTAATTCCACAATTCGATATAACTAAATTAATATGGCAGTATTAATCATAAACAGGTCACGGGCAAAATTGAGGAAATTGGGTCATATTTTAATAATTATTAGTAATCGATGGATTTGTTTGTAATTGTTTCAAAACATAAAATTAATGATTCACTGCTGTATAGTTGAGAAAATGAATAATATGTACTATAAATCAATTGTATATATCATAATACAATGATATTTGGAAGATTATGGGAATGTCACGATGTTGTAAAAAATAGATCTTTTAACTAAAATATGATGAAAAATTCCGATGTGCTAATTATAAGTTTTCTCGACGTTTCAAGTCATTTTTCACTTATATTTTCAATTTTAGCTAAAAATCTTGAACCAATTCTAAACTGTTCTAAAGATTAGATCAGTTATATAATCGTGCGGATTAGTTTTTGGCCAAAAACGGCCAAGCCGTTTTTTCGCAGGCAAACAATTGTTAAATTTTTGTTTACCCTTTGATTAAACTCGCATATTGATAGGGTGAAAAGTTTTAATAAAACATCCTACATATCATAAATAGTAGCTCAATTATAAAAAATCATTAAAGATTAGAATACTTAATGAACGCTTTATAAAATACAATATATTATATATTAGGTGTTGTTCAATAATGTATAATATTTGAACTATTTATCGATAATAACTAACATGTTTGCAAATTTTTATAAAATTGAATAATCTGCAATAGTAGTATATATCATATATAAGGCCCTAAAGCAATCCTACATGCTTATAAATCACTTATAAATTAATATATTGATTTTTTATTGATTAAATGGTTAATTTACACATAATAATAAATAATAATGATAAATGGTAGTCTGCCCAAAGGCAGGTCCACCACAAATCAAATAATCCTTTTCTCTCTTCGCATTCCCATTACCAATATTCCCTCTACTTTAAACATTTTTTATGTATTTTCTTTTAAAATTTCTGCTTTCATGCTTCCTGATCCTGTGCTTCGGCTTTTAGTTCCTTGTATTTCCTCTTCTCGTGTAAGTCATCAACCAGCTGCATTCTTCTTCCTCCCATTCCTTTCAGTCCTATTTTACCTTCAACTACGTCGTGTAGGAGGCACTCTTTTTGCAGAATGGTTCCGATTCAGTTCTTTCTTTTCAGGATCGTGCTCAGTAGAGTCCTCTCTTTGATCACTCTTCTCATTGGTTATCTTAACTGCCTTCTCCATTTATCTTCTTTATCTTCTCCATTCGTCTCCAGCACCACTTTTCAATACTCTCCAGATAGTTTTCTCTGATCTCTGATCCGTACAGAGCTATTTACACATATTGGAAAATTTATGTAAGACTTAAGGCAAAATACTACTTACTTATACCTGGTTAACTTGATATATTTTCATTATTATATAATAGTTTTATTTTTCAAAAAACCGCTCATGTATTTGAAAATTTGTTTTTGACTATCAGCGCCATCACATAAACTTTACGAGTATTATTTACAGGAGCACCAACAGTCAGGCAATAATAAATCTGAAGCTGTCATAAACATTGTTTATTCGTGTCTTTACCTCTTTATAGAAAATATATAATATATTTCTAATCTTGAAATCGAAATATTGTAATGTTTACTCGGAAAGATCTATTATTAAAGCGTACTCCGAAAGACGGTGTTGACCGCAAAATATATTTAGCATTGCTACGTGACGAATTCTATGAAAGTAAATCTCTGAGTAAGTAAATTATAATAATTTAGGAAAATTTATTTAATAAACTAAATATTAAATTTCATAGTCGCTATATTTATAATCGTTATGAAATAGCACCTCAAGTTCTTGGAATATGAAAAACCTGTTTTTATGTTTACTTTTGGCTCTGCTAAGTTCTATGAATTTAATGTCCACTTAAGTTTATAATTATAAGTCCATATATATTTTATGCATTTTTAAATTACAGGTGCCAAAGAACAAGTGGGCAAATCTAGCAAATTTTGCATATGATCCAGTTAATTATGAATACATTCGAGAAGTTTGTATAATCGACGTATTTCTTGAAAACCTTCAAGGAAATAATAGTACTTTATCAAGATATTCTCTTGCCGGAATTTGCAACTTATGCTTAGGTAAAGTTAGAGTTATATTATTTACTATTACAAAGTGTTAATTGAAAGATTGCTCAACAAAACCTGATTATTTTTCAGATCCTGATAATCGTGACTACATAGTTTATAATGATGGTATAGCAAAAATCGTCAAGTACTTGGTCAATTCCAATGTTGAGATGGTTGCTGATGCCATAACCACCTTGCAGTTTCTAATAACACCAGAAACCAGAGACAAAATTTGTAATACTGAAATCATTAATAAAATTCTTAAGATTCAAAGAAGTGACGACGCTCGTTTAAGAAATCTGGCAACCATATTTTTAGAAGATCATTGCCAACGAGAGCAAGTTGAAATTTGTAAAACTGTGTATGAACATTTTTTAATACAAGTAGATAAAATATAAAGTAGTGTTTAAGAATGCATCAATTTGCTAGAATGCTTCTTGCTAAAAGACTTTTCAAATTTCAAAATGCCTCTATGCACACCAAGGTGTCTGTTACAAAACAAGTTTCTTTAGAAGATCTTAAAACGTTTGCTAAATTGACTGGTGATAATAACGTTGTGCATTTTAATAGAACTGCAACTTCTGAACCAATCGTTCATGGAGCTTTATTAAATGGTTTTGTATCAGGGGTAATTGGAACATTGTGTCCAGGTCATGGGAGCATAGTGATTTCACAATCATTCACATTTCCAAATAAATGTTTTGTTGATATACCGATTGAGGTGAATGTTGAATTAGTTGAGAATAGAAAGATTATGAAAATTAAATATTGGTGTGAACAGAATGATAAAATTGTATTTGAAGGAGAAGCTAAAGTAATAAATAAAAATTTAGATAGGTATATGGAGTTTTATTTATTTAAGGAATTATAAGAGTAATGATTTTTTTTTCAGGAATTTTAAGGACAATAAAAATTATTGTGAGTAATAAATAATTGTAATAGAAAATATAAAGAACTTTTTGAAGAAGAATAAATTGGCAATAATAGCCAAAAGATTATGTGAAAAAGCCTTATTGTATTAGATTTAAATTAACGCTAGATGCAAAACCCGTAAAAGATCTTATTTATGGCAGTAACTATGTTTGGTTCAGTTTTTATTAACTTCCCGTAGGGTAAGTTATAGTAATCGCAAAAAAATCGAAAATGAAAATTTTTATATATGTTTATGTTTCAAAGATTTCTGAATATTTCGGCATACCTTAGAAAAATAGATGTATGTGTGTGTGTGTGTGTGTACGTGTATGTATGTATGTTCGGATACAAATTTTCGTCGACGATTTCGGGAACACCGATCAACAGATTTGAATAATTCAAGAAACATTCGATTCATATTGATAAGGAGACGTGCTGATTATGTTTTGGCGAAAGTAGAAGATGCGGGGCAAAAAGTGCCAAAAACGGTAACTGAGTTTTTAAAAGAACGGAGCGTCCGATTTTAATAATTCAAAATAATAGTTTACTCGTATTAACAAGATGAAGAACTGATTAAATTTTGGGAAGGCAGGTCCAGCGGTTATGGACTTTCAATAAAAAGTTAAAAAAATGTCATTTGGTGGCGGTCAAAAATATTTATTGGACATATGTACATCAAATTATCAGATATTTTATAGAGATTTTAATAATGTGTACACATTTTGTGTAAATTTTTGGGTTCTGTACCAAAATTTTTGATTACGGTATATGGTACGGGAAGTGCCATGCACCCCACTAGTTATTTAATAAATGAAGTAAGATAAAATGTTTATATGTAAAATATATAAATAAAATAAATTTTCCTTTCAATTACGCCTCTGTGCGGTTTGCTGTCAATTTCCAATGCATGGATAACATTTGTGAATTTCAAAACAATTGCAGAACCATGAATTATGGACATGGAGAAACGTCATTTTTCATATAATTTCTTTCTGTCAAAAATATGTTCAAAATTACTTGTGTTATTACTAAATTAACAAATTACCGCAACATTTCTACAACTTTCTTAGCAACTGCGGGGAATGTGCGGGTCAGATTTGCTCCTAGCCCTACAGGTTTGAAAATGTTTTTAACCTCAAAAATTACAAACAAAATAATAGACAAGTTTTGTTTTTCTTAGGTCATTTACATTTAGGCGGTTTGCGAACAGCTTTAATAAATTACTTGTTCGCGAAATCAAGACATGGGAAATTTATTCTTCGAATAGAAGATACCGATCAAACTCGTCTGGTACCTGGAGCTAAGGAGCAACTAATTAAGGATTTAGAATGGGCTGGTATTATCCCTGATGAAGGACCAAAGTATGGGGGATCACTTGGTCCTTACATACAAAGTCAACGGAAGAAAATATACAAGTCAGTACTTAATAATTGTCTTAGTACGATAAACAAAATATCTTCTAACTCCTTTTATTTTAGTGATGAAGTCCAAGAGTTATTGCAAAACAACTCTGCTTATCATTGTTTTTGCACTCCAAAGCGACTGAATTTATTAAAAAGAGAAGCACTTCGGAATCAACAAGTACCAAAGTATGATAATGCCTGTCGAAAATTATCAAAAGATGAAGTAAAAAGAAAACTCGACAAGAAAGAACCTTATTGTATTAGATTTAAATTAACACCAGATGCAAGCCCATTTGAAGATATTATTTATGGCAATATTGCTTTGGATATTGCACAGCAAGAGGGTGATCCAGTTATTATAAAAACTGATGGCATGCCGACATATCATTTTGCTAATGTTGTTGATGATCACTTGATGGGAATAACTCACGTTTTGAGGGGTGTTGAATGGCAAATATCAACACCGAAACATATTCTGCTGTATAAGTAAGTTTATTTTGATTTACAGAATTAAATTCCATACTCATCTTTTATTTATAATTGTTAATGCAGAGCATTTGGATGGGAACCTCCCAAGTTCGGTCACTTGCCTCTTTTACTGAACAGTGATGGATCAAAACTTAGTAAACGTCAAGGTGATATTACAGTAGATGCTTATAGAAAATCAGGAATTTTTCCACAAGCATTAGTTAATTTTATAACATTAAGTGGAGGTGGATTTGACAAATTGCAAAGTTTGAAACCTAAAAGCTATTCATTAGATGAGCTAAGGGATCATGTATGATAATATTATCTGAATATACACTTTCCACAATTTTTAGTACAAATTTTGTTTAATTTCAGTTCAATTTACGTCGTGTTAATAGTAACTCCTGTCGTCTTCCTGAGGATCGATTGCCTGAATTTAATAGACTTGAAATACAAAGACTTTTAAATAATCAAGTAGATAGGGTTAACTTAATATCACAATTAAGAAATCTTGTGATAGAAAAATATGGCGAGTAAGTATTACAGTTTATTATAAATATAATACTTGAATTATAAAATGAATCATTTACCAAATGTAGGTCAGAATTACTGCACCTGGACGAAGAACATCTATCAAGTGTACTTATATGGTCTCAAGATCGAGTAAGCAAACTTCAAGAATTATTGAGTGAAAATTTAGAATTTCTTTGGAAATTGCCACCAAAACCAAAAAAACCACCATCTGGTGATTTGAAAGGTATTATTCATTATTAGCTGCAAGCCTTAATTCATTCATATTTAACAATTTTTCTAATTTCAATTAGATTTTCTAATCGAACTTAAGAATTCTTTAATTACCACATACACATTTGAAAAAGAACAAATCAAAACAACATTGCATATGGTTAGCATGAATAACAAGGAAGATTTTAAAAATTTGATGGCAGAACTTCGAAAAGTCTTAAGTGGTTCCAAGGTAATAATATAATAACAGACTATGCGACAAGTATATATTAAACAAATTTTTCACTATCTATTCTTTTATGAAATAGGTTGGTCCTCCAGTATCAGAAATGATCACGATATTAGGAAAAGAAAGCACCCTGAAACGCATTTCAAATGCTTTACACCAAAATAATGAAGGACTCCAAAATTGTTATAGTGAATTTCGTTCCAAGAAACTTTGATAGTTTTAGTTTTGTAAATTGTTTGTTTTTATACATAGTGTTTAATAAAATGTTGAGTATTGTATAAAATATTGTCATATTTGTGTGAAACAACACTAAGATGTGGAAGCCAGTGTTTAAATTAAACAAATTACATAATGCTCTGCGTATTTATTGATGATTTTCATAGAATACTCTAGAATAATTTTATTTGAATTGATATTTAAATTGATTGCCCCAAACAACTTGTTCAATCCAATCAATGTAAGAAGAAACACGAGTGTATATAGATGGTGCATTGGGATAGCCACAAAATTTGCCGAAGGATGTCACACCGATTACTTTGTAGGTGCATGGAGACCATTGTAGAGGAACCTGATTTATACAGAATACTTAATTAGAAGCTTTATTTAATTGTTCACCGAAAGTGGATAACCGTTGCCTAGGAAAGATATGACAATTGTAATAAGGGGCCATTCAAGTATTATGTAAGCACCATAGGGGGGCGGGGGGGTTATTCATTTGCTTATTTTGCTTATTTTGGGTAAGAACTTTGCTTACTTTGGCTGACAAACGGGAGGGGGGGGTTGGTTGTAATATTTGTAATAAATCTGCTTACGTAATACTTGAACGATCCCTAACCCATATTGCAAATCAATAGAAAAAAAAACAAAGCTTTCCTCTAACTTACACTGGTGTTGTGTTCTTTCTATAATACGCCATCATCCTACAGAAAAAATGGTTAGTTCTAATTCAATTCATTTCTTTTACAACCGTTCAACCATTTTTGTGCAAAATTTGCGTATAGGTACTTTTGAATTTGACATATTCTATTAATTTGAACAAAATCTGCAGCCATTTTTATTCGAATTTAACTTATTACGGCTAACAAAAATAACTGCAACAATCAATTTAGATTGTAATAATATTGACGGTGATCATAATAGTAAAATAGTCGACAATAAACTGTATAATATAGCCGATTGGCGTTAATGAAAAAAATAAATATATGCGTTTTGAATGTTTATAAAAGCAATAAAATATTTCTGACCTTTTAACGCCCATCATCCTTTAGTAATATTCATTAAATCCATTTCCTCAAATTCACTTTACCACCTAGCACTGAATTAGTATTATTATTAACAATGTATGTAAATCACTTTGTTAACATTTTATAGTTCTTTTTAAACCGATTGCACAACTTACTACTTTGAAAACAACTTACAGAATGATAACAGAAGGACAACAATTATCCACTTCGGTATTTTGATGCAATGAAGTTGTCTTCTTATCAGAAAACAATTTTTCAAACGTTTTTTTGTAGGGTTGCAAACCTACCTGTTTGATTACTGAAGTCAATTTAAAATAAAGTCATGATGGCCAATTAAAAACTATTTTAATTACTTAAACGTGTCATCTTAATTACTAAATGTTCAAAATAGTTGTGAAAATAAGAAGAATTATTTTGTGAAAAAATTCACAGTGAACATAATTCAAGGATAATAATAATTTCCTCATTGTGTCAAAAATGGAATAAAAAAAGCGCCTTTATATATATTGCTCTCATAAATTGTTATCTCTATTGCTTGAACTTTAAGCTAAATTAAGTACGTAAGTTAAAATATCTTTAGTCTTTTAGAGATTTATGATATATTCTGTCATAAATTCATAAAATATTTAATTTGCATACATTTTTAACTTCTTGTAGGGGACCGTTCATTAATCACGTGATCGATTTTTTAAGGAATTACCCCTTACCCTCAAATATCACGTGTATTCATGTGTATCAAATGTAATTTTTTTTTTTTTTTAAATGTTTGGATTTTTTTAAAATAAATCAGGTAAAAAATAAATACACGTGATATTTTACTTTACCCCTTCCTCCCCTAAGTGATATTTCGCGATTTTTTGTCCAACGTTCCCTCTCCCCAAAAACCTCACGTGATTAATGGACGCCTCCTAGGGTAAGTTATAGTAATGGCAAGAAAATCGAAATTGATAATTTGTATATATCTTTATAAAGATATCAATAGGAATCCAATGTTTTTTGAAAAATTGTATCCGCATATACATACACACACATACATTAATTCTTTTAATGTATGCGAAAATGTTCAGAAACTTTTGAAATGCATATTCCTAGAAGAAATGGATGTATTTGTGTGTGTGTGAATGTGCATGTGTGTATGTATGTGCGGATACATTTTTCAAAAAACACTTGGATCCGTTGATAAGGAAACGTGCTGATTTGTTTTTGGCAAAGGCAGGTCCAGTCGTTTCGGCGATTCAATAAAAAAAAATTGAAGAAAGCCATTTGGCGGTCAAAAATGATCATTAGACATACGCAAATCAAATTTTAGTAATAAAAAAAATTTGTTTATGTTTTTATGGGTTCCGTATCAAGATATTTAATGTTTAACCGTTAGACTGACACGCGACGCTTAAGCGCTTCGAAATTTTGTCTATAAAACAGCTATATAGCGCAATAGTTAAGAAAAAAATTCTAGATTTTCAACAAAAAATTCAAATGCAAAAAAGTAAATTTGTGTTGAAATAGATTTAGGCCTTTTAAATTACCCTACAGTAAGTTTTAGCAATTAGCCTAAAAGTACGATGCCATGCATCAGTAGTTCATAATAATATTACCTGAATAGGTCCTCCGGAATCACCTTGGCAAGTATCTTTGTGTCCTGAGAGATCGCCTACGCACATTTGCGAATCGATTATACCATCTTTTAGAACAGATCTTGGTCTTCTAATGTCGGACTAAAAAATATTATTATTAAGAAAAAAATATATTTTGGTAATTAACATTTTCATAGCTCCAAAACATTAACCACGTGATCCATGTCTTCTTCCATACTTACTGCAAATGAACGTGTACAATGATCTGATGATAAAACTGGTAGTTCGACTTTCATTAATTGGTATTTTCCTAGAAATTCTGTAAATCAGAAAAATTTTCAAATAAAATCATTACGGGCAACCTGATATCAAGCAGCATCGATGCTCACTTTTCCAATGAAAAAGATTATTACTAATGCTTGATACATGTATCTATGCATAGATTTGAACCAGAGACTTTGTTTGTGCAATATCGCAGTATAGATATTATTATGAAAATACTAGAAATTATTACCATATGTTTGCTTTCCGTATCCTGTAGCAATCACAGTCTGCGGAATATTGTAATTATTAGTTTCCAGACAAGCTGGTCTAATATCCATAGAAAATTGAACTGGTTTGTGTAACTCAAGCAAGGCTATATCGTTATACCTTAAATAAATTTGATTATCTAAAAATTATATAATTACAAATTATGCATATAAAATTATTTAAGATAAATATATAAAAAAAAACTACTTTAAAGGTGGCTTGTAATCCGGGTGCTGTATTCTGTTGATTATGTAATATTCTCGATAGGAAGAGATTTCATTATTGATGTAGTCATAACTATCTGCATTATCACCAAAACGTACTTTTTGTGCAGGACCTCTACAAAAATGAGAAATGATACAAGATCAAATTAATATATATATATATATATATATATATATATAATTTTCAAAATACATTACTTGTCTCTACTCTTCAAACAATGAGCAGCACTAAGAACAAATTTTTCACTAATAAGGGAACCTCCACATTGCCAAGTAATTTCTCCATCGGCGGTGTAACCAAATCCGATAGCTGCCTATTTAAATATTAATATATTTATGAAAATATATACATATTTGTTATATCAATATTTCATTCAAACATTAGGTACTCGATATGAGCAAGAGATGTCCTGATGAAGCTCCTATCAATAAACTATACCAAGAGATTGGAGATGAGAAAAAGCACAATGTATATGGATTCATTTGGTATAGGCAATCTTTTTAGCATATGATAATTTGATTTCAGTCAATTAATTAGTTTTTGTAATAAAACTACTAAAATTGATTTACTGAATGTCTAAGACAGTTGTAAATGTATGAGATGATAAAAAAAGGAACAGTAACAAAATACTAGCTACAAAATGCTTATTCGGATGTTGATAAGTATATATATATATATATATATATATAATTACGTTTATACCTACCATATGGGGAAACTCCATTAGTGAAGTTGGAGTTCCGCCAATTATGAGAGGAACTGGAGATCTAGGACAACCATATGGAGATAATTGAGAGGGAATCTGACTATATTCTATACATTCTGAAATAATTATTGACTGAAATTATAAATATTATAAAATTATGAAAAACAACTCGAAAAATCTAAATATTTCGCTGCATTACAAAATGATTGTTTTTAATTAACATTGACCATTATTCAGCAATTCTAATATAAAACAATAATTGCAAATTATGATAATTTGTTATGTTTAAATACATTCAAAATGAAATAATTTTTTTAAAAAATGTATAACATATATATTTTTTTAATTTAGATAATGAGTGGATTGACTTACTTTGATTAGCAATTTCACCAGGAGCTCCAAATATCACAGGAAAATAAATAAACGAGAAGATCACACTTTGGAGTTTAAGAACCATCCTCACAAATCTAGTAAGAATCCAGGTATTAAACTAAATTTTACATTTGGATCATTATATATATATATATATAATATATATATATATATGTACATATACATATATGGTATATATATATATATTACATATATGTATATATATACTTATATGTATATATACATATATGTATATATATTTAAATATATGTATAAATATACATATATAATAAAAATAATTACTCATGTCTTTAGTTTACAAAGTTTTTGTTTTCTTATCAATTGTTCTATAGCTAAAAGATATTTTAAAATATGCATGAATTGCTTAACAAGCAATTAATTATTGAATGCAAATAGAATTTAAATGTGTAATTAGTTTAAATAATAATTAAATAATTTAATTTTCATATTTTAATATATTTTATAATTAATACTTTATGAACTGTTAAATAATTAATAAAATGAAAAGCGTAAAAAGAGTTATAAAAACGCAGTATCGTTATTTAAATAGTATTGAGTATTATAAACAGGTTTATTTGAATTTTTTGAAAACGAATTAAAAAAAACAACTCGTAAAGATATTTGTTTATTACGGATAAATTAATAATATTATATCATTAAAATGTTCTTTACAAATTAGGTTTTATTACGAATATAAAAGAGTCATTATATAATAAATATAATATACAAATAACAGTAAAGTATTTCGTTTCGCACAACATATAAATAAATTTAATTTGTTATAAAAAAGTAAACATATTTTCTATGAAATTTTAAATAATACTAATAACAAAATAAAATACATTTCAGGTTTTAATCAAGAGAAATTTACACTCGTACAACTAAATATTTTGTCCTTGTATATATCTCTCTCCTGATTTAACATTTTTCGTATAATTTCATACAATTCACATTTTATGCCCATTAAAAAAGTTGCTCCAAAACTTAGTATTATATTTATATACAAATTTTCAAAATTTTAATACTAAAACGAAACTCCACTGAATGATATGGACAAAACTTACATGTTTAAAATATTTAAATTGGAGCTCTTATTTCAATAGACAAAAAATGATTATTTTTACCACGACTAGAAATATATAAGATAAAGTTATATAGTATAATACATATACAGTTTTAGGCCAGTATGGTTAGTTCAAATTTCATACTCAGTATTTTTGAAATTTTACAAAATTTTGCATACACATTCTAGAATCAGATAGAAATATAAAGTCAGATATTCTCACCACACACAGTACTATCACAATTATTTATATATAAGAATTAACTTAATATTAAAAAACAATACATTTCATTTCAAAAATAATTCAATGATAATTGCAATATATGGAAACACGTGTGTAAAAAAGCATACTTTCTGTTTGAATAAAAACAGCATGAAAAATTATACGTTCATAGATTTCTTTTAAATAAATATATAATGAAAATTTTTTTTCAAATTACTTTAATAAATTAAGAATATTAATCTCGTCCAAGATTTTTTAAGTTAATCATTATATTATACTTTGAATCGACTTCATTTTCTACTACTGTTAATTTTGGTCCACAGTCAGATTTTTCTCGTGTTGATTTCGTTTAAACTTCAACTTAAAAATAAGTAAATTTATTTTACAAATGACAAACATCGAAGTCACATTTACAAAGATGAAAAGATTCTAACTTTAAATACTTTTATACAAAACATGAAGGAGTACCATATAAAGATAAAGATTCATTATTTTACGCACAAAATATTATGAATCACACGTATAATTTTTTTTAGACATTTATTTCCTTCATATTATGCCCTTGTGAACCACTATTTAATGTCTATTATATAAATATATAATTTTAGACATCGCTAAATATTAAAATAAAAATGGTCCAGGAATGTTAATAATAAGATGAAACTATGAACATTTAAATTCTTTAACACGTTCTGCCAAGTTCTCTTTTAAAAAAATATTTTTAAATTATACGCCGACGTGAACGTGTTAAATACACAATCAATAAAACAATATAGAACCATGATTTCAATAAATACAACAAAATTGAATAAAATGTTTGAATAATCGTATGAATAAAAAAAGTTAAATCTAATGTCATTAATTTAGATATATACTACAATAACACTTATTTATCAACACTAAATTTGAAGAAACCTTTATGTAAACTTGTACTATTGTAAAAATTTCGACATTTAATAACCAACATAAGCACAATTGTGAAAAACGCGTTATTGCAAACAAGTAAAATAAATTTTACTATATTTTGAATCATATTTTAGCCAGTCCAATAAACTATTTTGTTTGAATTATTTCAACACAAATGAGTAATTTTAAAGAACGGTTAACACACAACATTCATTTAATTTTATTTCTTATTCTTTATTTCAAATATATAAGTAAATTTTTCCTTGTATGAAAACGACATGAGTACTTTTGTTCAACAATGCCTAATTTTTCAGCAAAGTGATTTTTATAGGCAACAGATTGTCTGTTCAAGAAAATATTGTAGAATTAGAATAAAGATCACTATTTTTTCATAGTAGACACATAAAACATTATTGTAATCTACATTTAATAATTGTTTTATGGTAATAACATACACACAAAAATTTTAATTTTGTTTTCATTGGCCTTTTAGAGTACTAAAATAGATATATTAATATACTAATTCTAGGACGTTACTCATTACATGATGAGTACTTTAATTACAGAGTATAGAAATAAATTATTTCATCTATTGCTATTAGCTTATGTAATAACTATCTACTTCTATATGCGAATATGAATTATATATTTATATATTTTATAATTAATGTCGATTATGGGTAATACTATTATACCATCGATATAAAAATAATTGAGGTTTACTCGTTTAAAATACATATTGTATGATTTTTTAAACGACTATTTACGACTAACTGCTTTGTAATTAATCAATAACTTGGTAATAGATAAAAAATAATGTTTTAAGCATTTTAAAATTAAACCTATTCCATCGCTGGATGCTAATATATCAGTTTGAGAAAGCTTATTGCATTTTCTGTCTAGGAATTTAATATAATAACAATTTTTGAAAATATTGTTTCATAAATTTTACAAAATATTAATTACTACTGTACAAAGTATATATTAAAACAAGATCCTTCTTATTGCAACAATAACTTCTTAAACGGAACAGAAAACTATGGTTACCAAAAAAATGGACTAACCCAGATTTACTCTTCTGGGGATTTCAATGAAACTTTGCATGATGATAAATGAACCCCTTAAAATATTATAGGCCTATGAGAAGTGGATCAGTTATAAAAATTATATTTCGTTAATTTTTATTATTAAACCACTTCTCACAGGGCTACAATATTTTAAGAGGTTCGTTCTGACTATGAACTTTATCACCTTACAAATTTTCATCAAAATCCCAGAAGATCAAACATGAGGTTGTCCTTGTAAATATTGAAATATATTTTTTTTGACAAAATTCAAAACTGGTAAAAATAACAAATTTTGATTTTACTACAAAAGCAATTAATGTTTTCGTCGTATTCGCCGATTTCTAGCAGACTATTGCTGATGATAAATTTATTTATTTATTACACGAATCTTCTAACTCGTATATTTTTACATAAATATTATAGATTCCTACATAACTAACTTTCTAGATCACACTATTTTAGTTGCTATACGTTATTTTTCTTAGAAAATTCTTATATTAACATAGGATAAAGAATTATAATGCTATCTAAAATACTATTACGCATAATACACATATTTTAAATTGTGCCACTGATTTTTTTGTTACAAAAACCAAACGCTTCTCTATTTCTTCTATAGACCGTGTAAATAAGCCATTTTTGGGAATTAAAATAGAATAAATAATATAATTATTGATAAAAGTTATTACATAAATATTATATATTAGAACCTTCGTATCACCTATTTGGAGCTTCTAAAAACTACATCATATTGCTAAGTATATCTCGAAATCATTGCTTCAGATTAGAATATATAGTATTAGGGAATAATTATATATTTTAAGTATAAAACAATATTTAATAAATATTATTTAAGAAAATGATTTGATTCATAAATTCAACTTGTCTATTTTCGATTAAAACACGCTTTATAAAATATCGCTTCCATTCTCTTATACTTAATACTAATTTTAACATACGAGGTAAATACAAAAATTTAATTTTAAACATTCACAAATACAAATATATCGTTTATACATTCAATTTATAATTAGAATAGAAGAAATTCTGTCGTTTGATTTTATAGTCAAGGATATGTAATTAGCTTAATGTAATAAATACTTAATGAGACGTCAATTTATATACTAAGCAGACTAAAATATAGATATTTGAAACATGTAAATAAATAATAATTACTTGATATTTATGAATAAAAATAACAGTGATAATTTACAACAACAACTAATGTTACTCGTTATATTTTTCTGAAAAATTTTGGGACAAATTCAAACCATAAGTTAATATTTTTTGAATAATAATAGTGATATAGATGATGAATATTTCTTTTAATAGTTAATATTTTTAATATGAAACTTGCTTCAAGAATATAAATGCTTCTTGTGCGAACTTATAACACAAAACGTTTCAATTATCATCAGAATGAAATAAATCTATCTATTCCTACGACACAAACTTTCGACGATTCTAAAATAATATCCAGTAAACGTACATTTCTTATTTTTATAAACCTAGATGAGGCCCTTCAAAGCGACATGATATATCACAGTTTAGAATACCAGGATTCATAAGATCATCAATTTAAGTGTTTTCATATCCAACTCCTTTTCCAAATACACTTAAACGAAAATTGAAATCCGTATAGCGTAGTTATTAGATAATAATTAGGTAAAAGTTGAAAATGAAAGTTATTGAGAAAATATCTAACACATTTTCAAGTTTACACATTTTCTTTGCTTATAGAACTCTAGACAAAATATTTTTATTAAAAATATTTTTTATATATTGAAACATGTTTCATGTCATATTGTTTATTAGTAGTGATTGGAATAGGCCAGCCTATTATATGTAATCACATTAAGACTAAATAGTTTAAAATAAATAAAAAAAATCAAATATATTTAGGAGACATCCATTTATTACTTTATGAAGTTTTACTTCAACTCGATGAATTAAAATAATTATTAAAATAAATAATTCTTTAAAGTTGAATCCGCAAAAAATATCATTTGCTTAAAAACTTCTTTTCAAACTATAAATTTACTGTTATTTTGTCATTAATATTTTTCATATCCTGAGTAAAAATTAAACATACTTAAATTAATAGAACTCCGTACCAGTTTCATAAATTTTAAGATTTCAAATACTTGGTAAGTTTTAGTTAGGTTTGGAAAGCTTCTATTAAAGTCTTTTCTCAATCCATTTTTAGTAAAACTGGATGTCCTTTTAGATCTTAGCTTTATATATACACAGTAAATAATAATATGTATAGATAGGTTTGCTAGTATTGTAGTCAATAAAAACTAAAAATTTAGTATATTAATATTTTCCATTGTAATACAAATTACATTTATCTATAAATGAAATATTCGTATCCATTCCATTGTATTGTGTGTATATATTCAGCAAGATTCTTAAATCCTAATATATTTCTTCATAAATTTTATGTTTTGTTAACTAAAATAAATACCGTGTATGTCATCAAGATACCAATTCTTCTTATCTCATTTAACTTGATAATTCCTTCACAGCTTGCAGAAGTCTCTTAACGTGTCCCACTTTAGTGATGCCCAAATCTTTGAGATCACGCCTGGCCAATGTCAACAGTTCTCTACCCCTGACATCGTGTTTTACAAAATTTTCGACGTATTCGTGCATTTGCATCGCCTCCAGCCAAGCAGCCACTTCTTGGACACTCCAATTGGAAACAGAAGTTGTGGAAGAACTCGATGTTGAAGCACCGACACCAGTAGCTGGAGACCGGAATTTCATCCAGAAGAGACCCTTACGCTGATTTTTTCTTTCAGTCTGGTAAAAGAAAAAATAAAAAAATTGTAAGTGGCAATTTGTCCTAGGAGAAGTTACATCATATCGGTAAAATAATCAACAGGAGCCTTTATCGAGTTACATGTACTCAAACGTCGTCGAAAGATCAAATTTACATTATTTACTATATTACAATTACTATCGTACCTCCTCTACAGCATGCAAATGAATAACAGGACCGTCGGGTGATTCAGTTTTTGTGCATTTCCTAAGTTCTGAATCCATATTGGCTAAAGCTGCACTCAATTTTGATTCCAAATCTTCTCGAAGTTTTAAATGATGCGCCTTATCTCTCAATAAAATACACGTTTCTTCATAAAGTTGTCGAGCAGCTGATACCTAAAATTGAAATTACTCATGAAAATATTCGATCGCAATTTAGTTTGCTTTTATTTATTTACATACCAGATCAGTTAATTGCATTCGCAGTTCTAATCCTTCTAATATTTTGCCGTTAGGATGCAGATTTTCTAAACAAGTACCACAACGAGTCGCTATTGAATATAAATCTGCTTCAAGAGATGGATGGCTAATGATAAGTAATTTAACCTGGAATTGCAAAAAATTACATTTTTATTTAAAGTTTAAAATAAAAAATTATACTATCTATTAATATTTACCCATTTTACAAGTGTGCTCACTACTTCTATGAAGTTCAATAATAAAGTCATCTCTTTATCCGACATAAGAACAGATGAGAAAGATCTATCATCATCTTGAGATGTAGTTGAGGATGGTCCGTGGTCTCTAGAGCGATCTCCTGCAGGTGAAACTGAATTTCTCCGTTGTTTTTCTTCCCAAGTGCGTAACGAAGTCTCAAGAGCTCTGTTCCGACAAAGCATTTGCATACGATTTTTGTGTATTATCCGAATTATACCAGGAGGTTGTATCCAGGCTTCACCATCCACTTGAATCGGAACCCCTTCGTCACCTGATAAACACAAAAATATAAATATAATTAGGAATAAATATTTTCAGATACTAAGATGCTTAAATTTGTTGAAAGACGTTATTACTTATCATCTTGAATTAAAACTTTTTTCTGTATCTAAAATATTGATTTATTATTCACCTAAAATTGAAATTTGTACTGTTTGACATTGTGCGATGCGATGATGTTGAAGATTAATGAGTCTAGAAGCGGCCATCTGTACTGATCCAAAAACTGCCACTACTTCCAAAATTTTATCGTCAAAACTCGGCGCAAGAAAACAATCGTCTTCCTTCTTACCACCCCAGAAATTTGTACCACCCATAAAACTAGCGAAGAAAAAAGTTGAACGCATCAAAATAAGATAGATTACGATAAAATGTGATAAATTTTATTTGATATTTACCTAGAAATATTTAAAATAACAATTCCTTGTAAGCTAGGTAAAGGTATTCTTTGACCATCGCATTCCAATTGGACCCGCTGTTCTAAATTCTTGTAAGTTTTCTGCAGCCATTCTTTGCTGCCCAGTACTCCGTACCACATATAATTTTTTGCTCGAGACCTGCATTTTTCAGGATGTTCTTCACGTTTATGATGAAAATCCAGTGATATTTTAGCATCGATACCTAAAAAAATATTTCCAACATAGAATCGAAACACACAATATGCAAAATAAATATTTTACCGATTCCGAAGTAGTTGTTCATCACACATCTTTCATAAAATCCTTCAAGCAAAGTCTCATCAGGATCCATGAGCGGACTAACCGCTGCACAAAGTGCATCTGCGTTAGCTAGAAGACATTTTGATATGAAACCGCTACCACTGCTAACATCTATAGACAACAAATAATAAAATTAAGAATTTTAAAAATTCTAATTTTATTCTATAAAAAATTGTACATACGAGGCCATGTAGGTAACTGAACTAATGGATTTATAATAGGAAGACGTCTATTTGGTTCATCTTTGTCATCTTTATGACATTGTGGTATTCCAAGACCTAGCCCTAGAGATGACCCAGCATATAAACTCGTTACTGAAGCTGCCAACACTGCTGCTTCATTGCCCTAAAAGTCAATTGTTAATTTTTATTATTATATAACATTAAAAAAATATTTTAACGTACCTTGAATAAACTTCCGCTTGATATTCTTCTAGTGGCCGCAGGTGAACAACCCAAAAATTTCATGTGCTCGGCATCTGGTCTTAGCAAATTAGGGTTATAATCCGAATTACTTCTTTGACGTTGTGTATCATTTCTAACACCTAAACTCTCCATTCTGCTCTCCGCACATCCTTCAAAACCTATTGATTTTCTCGCTCTAGCGATTCGCATATCTGATTTTATTATTGGTGAAGGAGGTTCAACTACGACACTAGGATAAGTTTGCTTTGCCGATTTGGATCCTTGAATTCTTTGCTTTAATGACGCTATTTCTTCTAATTCCTCATTTAAAATATCCTTTTCATCCATTACTTTAACTATTTTAGTATTATCACAAGAAGGACGTTTAAAAGATCTTCTTGCAATATCGTTTCCTTCTTCAAATTGTGCCAAACTACAGTATTTGATTTTCTGTTCATCACTTCGGTTATCAATTCCAGAAGCTTGTACTTTTCCATTCGCCCTGCAATCTTTTCGGAAGACTGTCGAATCTTCCGTCATCGTTTGGTCAGCAGTAATCGCAGCTACTAAATCTTGTCCTAACACCGAGCTTATATCATCCACTATAGATTCACCATGCAGAGCTTCAGAATTTTGACAAGTCGTATCTGATGTTTCTGGACTATCGATATGCCCTATGTGGCCATTGGCATCTTCTCCGTCCGAATTTTGAGGAGCTGTATAAGCTTTATCTAAAATATCGGATCCCACACTGCATTCTTCATTGCTCATAGCAGATAATACATCGCTGGCTGTAGAATCTCTCCTGTTAATCAAATCAGTATCGATTATCATCATGGCTTCTGATTCCAGAACATTGCTCTCATAATTACTAGCATCATCTACGGTAATTCGGGGAGGTTCTAGTTTGCGTTTATTTGAGGTACAAACTGTAGCTATAGAATCATCTTTTTCCTGAGAGGGCATACTTGAGGGAGTATTGGAATTAAATGACATTTCATCGTAAGGCAAATCGCCTGTCATAGTCGTGGATTCACTTTCATTGGTAGTAGTTTGTTCTGTGCGGTGCGTTGCTGAGCATAACGGAAATAATTTTACGAGTTCTGCGGCTGCTTCTTCCATTTCTTGAATGCTAAAGAAAAGATAAATAAAACTATTAGTTAATTATACTAATAGTATTTTTATGTCCTACCGCTACCACTGCAAAGCTACTTTGATGGCTACGTAATATAATATTTCCTCTAATTCCTACCTTTGTTGGTATGACGACCGTCTACTGTCCGCAAATTCCTGTGGCACAGGTAATGTGGCTACGAGGTGATCGAATCCGGTCGATATATTCGAATCCCGGCGCTGATCCGGCAGCGGGGATATGGAAGTCAAACGTTCTCCGGGCGCAGGTACTACATCGGCCGACAGGAGGTTGGAGGCGAGGGTTGTCGGCGTTATTGAACCCTGTCTATTAGCCCGAGGGTAAGGCGTCGGGCTGCCGCATCTACTGGTCGAGGTCGCGCGGTCGTTCGGTGTCTGTCTGTTGTTTTAGTAGTCTACGAGGAAAAATAATAATAATAAGATTAGAGTGATTTTTAATTTAATATATGAACAAGGCCACCAAGTTTTATTATCTACATATATATAAAAATAAGTCGGGTTTTCCTTCCTGACGATATAACTCCAGAACGCACGAACCGATTTCGACAATTTTGCATTCGTTGGAATGGTCTCGGGCTCCGCAAGGTTTATAGCTAAATTAATGGTAAATGGCATCGTGCCTTAATGCAAACTGCTGAAACTTCAAGCACCGTAATTAAATATTCGAGTAATGACATTAGTGAAAATGATCAGAATTATGCTTGGTTAAGCCAACGAGCAATTCTTGCCGCAAACAATAATGATGAACACGCACTGAATATCACCATTCAAACAAAAATTGCTGGCGATTTGGTGACATACCAATGGTTCCGACTGGTCTTCCGTTTGACTTCAAACGATTGCAATTTCCAGTTCGCCTTGCGTTCGCAATGACAATTAACAAGTCGCAAAGCCATAGCTTAGTTTTTGCGGGATAAATTTCAAATAGATTATTTAGAAAATCATTGTTTTTCACATGGGCAGTTATACGTTGCCTATTCACGAGTTGGAAAACCATCCGCTGTGTTTGTGTTAACGTCAGACCAAAAAACAAAAAATGTGGTTTACCAAAGAGCACTTCAATGAAACGGATAATTTGCGATTTAACTTTAATTTACTTATAGAAGTTTAGCTAAAAAACACTTCATTTTTGTAATTGAAATAAATTCATTACTGTTGTGTAATAAAATCAAATTTTTCCTTTTCAAATATAAAGCAAACAAAAAGTTTCTTCATCTTTCTCACGAAACCATCTGTTGGCGAAACGGAGTTCGTCGGGTTTGCTAGTTTTATACAAGTATCTGAAATATTTGTTGTACCAATATGTATACAAATTGCAGTTGTATACATATCCACGATTTCAAAATTTTATTATTATCTGTATCTATTTTATTTCATTTACCTTTGTTGAATTTTGCTGAGTCGATCTACTTCTATATGTTTCAATTTCCGTGTGTTGCATAACATTTCTCATTGCTCGTTTTAGACTATCTGCACGGCAATGTAGTGCTTCGCGTTCTATAAAACTATCGGAACGAGCTCGTCTCTCTGTTAGATTAAGGTGTTCTTTTTCTTTTTTATCCATGGCGCCTTTTTCAACATCTCCGGAACCGCCTCTTGTGGTATTTGAAAGACTCACAGAACCAACCTGGAAAAAATATTAAGTATCATTAAAGAAAATCAATGAGATAAACATTGTATTTTTCTATCAAAAGAAAATTCAAACTAGTGGTGCATTGCATCGGGCCTTAAGGCAAATTACTGTAACTTACCGTGCGGTAATAAAATATTCGAGAAATTTTATAGACAAAATGTAAGAGCTTATAAATTGGACGACGACTCTAAATTTCGGGATTAGATAGCTCCCTCTAACATTCGGTGTTGTTACCTAAGGTACGGTTGACATTGAACATGAAGATTAAAATAATCGCGAAGAGATTTAAGTAAGAGCTGAACTAGTGGTGCATGGCATTGTGCCTTCAGGCAAATTGGTGGAACATCCCGTAGCAAAAATTATTTATTATTATATATTAATATTTTTTTTAAATGGAAAGTTAACAAGATTTTTCAATGAATCATGTCAATGTCTTTAAAAAGCCAGTTCTGCCAATAATACTGCAAATTAATCTCGAATTACCTCTTCATTATTTAAAGTCTCGATCAGCATATCCAGTTTCGTTTTAAGTAAATCAGCCTTAACTTCAAGCTGCTCCTTCTCCGTAGCATCTTCTTCCGCAGCATTTATTTCCCTGACACGCGTCAACATTTCCTGGACAGTTCTTTGGAGCAATTCGGCCGAAGCATGAATTGCTGCACTATCATCAGCCTGCAGAATGGTTTGCAAGTGCCACAAGGCGCAAGCCTCGCACTGCTCCAGAGCTGGTGACAAAGGCGTGTCTGCTGTTGTGTCGCAACTCGAAGAAGGTACTGTGTCACCATTTGGTATTTTGGGAAAAGCTATGTCACGTTCGAATGTCATGATGCTCCACCTGAAAAGGAACAATTAAAAATAACAAATAAAATAAGAAATATGATTGAAAAAAGACAATTGAATACCAACCTGTCCAACATTTTTGTCCCAGCTTTTTCATAACGTTCTAATAATTGAGGTAGATGTGCGTCGTCATCACATGAGGCGCCCCATCCCAGAACACGAGCAAGATCGTTGCCGGTGCCCAGAGGCAGAACTGCTACTTGACATTGTTTCTGGAAAATAAATTAAATTAAAATTAAAAGAAAAAGTACTTGTTCAAAGAAACAAATTATTATTTGTATCAGAATTATTCTGGATATAATGATATTTGAGATATATTACACGCGAATAATCTGCATTGTAATTATCCAGCCATAATTAGTCACACTATGTTTATTATATACATCAGTTATTTCAATTTCTTTATTATATAACGGTTCTTTGTTTGCCTCATACTATATTCAGATTTTTCATTATATTTTTATTTTTATACAAACACAAAAGAAGTGTCAACATTCTGTTCATTATTTAATATGACTGTCAACAGATAGGAGTATGTTTCTATTTTCACGATTTGGTTTATTTCGTCCCCAAATGTCACATTTTTAATTAAAAATCCGTTCACTTCTAAATGCGGAGTTATTAATTTTCATCCATGTGTCACAGGTAAACAAGCAATAATTAAAATCCAGTCCATGATTAATATATTTCTGCCTATCATTTCATAAAATGTCAAAGGCTTCAATCTATATCTTTTTATTTTTTTGTAAACGCAATGATAAAACTTAATTAAATAACAGCATGAGAATTCAATAAAGTTAAATGAAATTGTTTTATATACCAATATCACAACAATTTATATCGAAACGTTTGAGTATGCAATTTGCCTTTGATGAATTATCACACATGGCGTATTAATAGAATATTATTAATGCAGAATTCAATATGCAATAATCGTTTTAATATCTTGAACTAAATTCCATTAAAACTATATAATATGAAAGTTATTTACGGCTAAAATTGCTTAAATTTTTCTAATTTTTTAGAAATTTGATAAATGGAGTCTAAAAGCGGAACAGAAAGAGTTGCGATATTAATACATTGATGGATGATTTCAAATGGCTATTCAATATTCGTGGCTATTTATTTATGATAAGTGGTTTCAGTAATATAAAGTATTATATATATATATATATATATATATATATATATATATATTAGATGTAGTTCAATATTTCAGATGATTCATTAATACTAGTTTAGAACTTTTGATTGTTGATTGTTTTTGATTCAAATTTTAGTAGAAATGGAGGAGTTTAGATATACCTTTCATATATACTATTGGTCCTATACAATGTTTCTTATACATTTTGCATAATCCAAAAGACAAACGAAACGGCAATTTTTTCTTCCAAGATTATTACACCCGTATGTAATAAACCTCTTAAAATTCGTGTAGCATGTTTCTCATTCACATTTACGATTCTTGTAAAAAAGTTTCCACTTCCATTCAAGATGAGATATAGACAAACAAACATCGAAATATGACCATAAAACGGCAAGTCTTTTATAATAAATTATGCAGAGCTTATTTTCACGTTCTACGCACAAGATATTTGAATAAAACATCACATTGCGTCGGAGTACGAATTCAGTTTTTTAGAATACGTTTTATTTTTATATTTACATGAAGCCATATGAAAAAATTGAGCACATATGTGGAATGAAATATACGGACGACGGGTAACAAAATACTGATCATTATTTAAGCAAAAGGTTATTTTACGAATTCCAGAGTTGTGACAGCCTATTAGGGTAATGTATCGTATACATCACGTCATTACGTCTTATTTTGAGAAATGCGATACGTTTATCTGGAAAATTGGAGCACAATTTAATAAGAAGAAATTTTTTTCAGGCAGTAAGATTCGATTCCATCTAATAACTTTTAAGCACAAAAGATTTATTTTTCGTGATGTTATTCATAAAAACTTTCATTAAAATTTCGAATGGTACTTTTTGTATAAATAAAAAGTACCATACCTGATACCTGAACAATAGACAAACCTGAAAAAAATCCAGGTTTGCCTATCCATTGTGAAACAATCTTAAAAGAAATTAGAATGATGAAGAAAATTCATTATAATTTTCTAGATCAATTTCAGGTAACTAAATAAGAAGATTTCAATCATAGCTGCAGAAGAAAATTTTATAAATTTGGAAAATAGGAGCACAAATTAATAAGATTAAATTTTTATTTAGGCAGTAAGATTTGATTTCATCTAACAACGTTGAAGCACAAAAGTTTTATTCCTTGTAATGTTTTTCTTAAAAACTATTATTAAATTATAATATTTTTCACTTTTTATTATTATGTAGTTATTCTCTTAAAAGACCATTTTCTCTCGATATCATATTTAAGAACCATAATCGCAAGTGAAAATCTGATATCATTGCTGCTTGATATCACACAAAGTATATTAATAGACTGTTATAATATATTTAATATATTATAATATATTAAATTTATAAATTATAATATATTAATTAAATTGCAACTATAGATTTTTTTTTACTAAAATCGAAACCCGGCTGATTCAGTTCTGCTTCTAAAAAAATCTACTTGCTCCTGCATTGAAAAAAAGTCTACAGTACAAAAAATTTAATATTATACAATAATAAAAATGTATAATAAAGCAATATGAGTTATGTTTTCTGAAGGGAACAGTATATTAATATTTCTAATGAGAGGATTCGCAATATTCGCCCTGGTGAATAATAAAGAAAGTCGAATAAAAGCCCGTTGCAAAAATTTAATCAGCATTTAAGCGAATTCTTAATTATTAGAGTTGGAGACTCTAATTAATGAGCAGCATTACGAAGGTATTATATTTTAATTTTTCTCTTTATTATTTTTTATACGGAATAAAAATTGAAAATATTTTCATTAAAACATTAATTAACACCAAAATAAACTCAAATGTAGGTCAAAGGAGGAATTAACATAAATATATTGTAGCACATTGAACAAAATTATGTAAACGATATAAATTACAATAAGGTACAAAACAAAAAATCTTGTAATGGAAGTTATTTATTACAGATTGACTATTAATCTAAATCAAAGAGAGAGAAAAGTTTCTACATTGTACATCTTGTAGCAATTAGATATTATATGAAAACAATTATTTATCTCTTGTTGTTTGATCACAATATATGTGAAAACAACATGTGCTATTATTAATTGAGCACATAAGATTAAGTGGAAAGAAATAGGTAGTGGGTGAAATTAATCATTATGAAAGAAATAACTCAATTCAGAGTTGGACTAGTAAATTAATTCATAACAAATTATATAGATTTTTTTTCTACTTACCAGAAGATCTAATCGATCGATCTCCGAAAGCACCCATCCTACTGATCCATCACCGCTGCAGATCAGTATCCGAAAATGGTCAAAGTTTCTAAATAAATTTAAACCTACACCAGGACCTGAACCGATCAGGTCGAATACTTGTGCAGGATTCAGAAGTTGCTTAAAACGCCTCAAGAACTTCACACCTTGGTTATCACCTGAGGAAAAATAAAATATACAGGAGATAAAGTACAATTACAATACAATTTTTTTGAGAATGAGAAAATTACTTTTTTACAATCATTTTTAATTTCAAACTGATTTTCATATTTAATTTCATATAAAGTAATTTCTCATTTAAAATCATAAAGCTCACGCCAGTCAGAAACATATGCTAGGAGCAACTTCTGCTCGTACTTTAGTAAACTTTTTTAATTATAATATTTTTTATTAGTAATACGTTTTTGAAATATTATATTCAATAGAGTATTTCGTGTATTAAAATAAAATTCACAAAAATCTGTATGAACATCTCGTAAACGATATGATGTCTTTTAATGGTCAAAAGACGAAGTATCTATTACAAATTTAATAAAAAAAATATCTGTGGCGATTTAAACGTTTCTATAGAAAAAAGAATTTGTTTTTACAATAATGATGTAATATCATACGTATTATTTACGTAGAAACAGTAACTTTCAGTGTAATGTTATATAGTATACTCTATAAAATAATTACTTCAGCATCTCGGATACGGTTTGCGTTGATTAAACAAGCTTTATTATAAGTAAATGCTTAGAGTCATATTATATAATTTCCTAGAACAATTTTATATAATATTCAGATACTTTCATATAATTATTTTGCTTCGTAATATAATAACTAAAAGTTATTTTAAAACAACGCAACATAAAGGCGTAGGGGAGACTGGGTACGGTAGTGTCACTTTTTTATTTGATCAGCCATAATTTTGTTTATTTACCAGCTAGCTAGGAGAAAATTGAATTAAGTGGTAATTTAAACATTTGTCTACGTGGAAATATTGAAATACCGTCGCTTAATATGATGTATTTTAGTCATAAAATCAAACCATACAAAAAACGTGACACAAGTTGGGGTTAGTGACAAGATTAAAAATAGGTATAAAGACCAAAATGGTTTATAATGTCTTTCATTGTCATAATAAACCATTAATTTTACCTTTTTTTTCTTCACCGGAAAAAGACAAAAGGTACATTTCACAACCGTACCCCAAAATTTGTGAGAACCGTTGCCAATGCTCATTTTTGAAAGCAAATCATAATTGTGCATAGGCCAATAATTACTAATATTTAAATAAATTTAATAAAATCAATCTGTGATATAATATACTAATATAAAATTATTGTAATTAAACCAGTTATTTTAAGGGGCACAACTAGTGTAAAATTTTGAAAAAATCGATTTTTGTTTTTTTTTCGTATTTCGGTAGATTATACCTTTAAAACTAACATATTAAAATTTCAAATCAATATCTCAAATAGTTTTTGAGTTACAGCCATTTAAAAAGTATACATATAGTATATAGTACAACGATCATTTAATCTTTAAACGCGTTTTTCTCGAAACAGTATTTTCCGAATTTGCTGCAGTGATTACTCAAAAACGAATGATCCGATCACTATCAAATTTTTTTTACATGTTCTGTATATAGTTCTCCGTAAAATAAACTATCGATTTTTTGATCAGATCAAAAATCGAAATTCGGCAGTCGAAAAACGACGAAAATTTTGGGTAAAATTACACGTTTTTTTTAAAACGCCGCCATTTTGTCAATCTTTGATTTATTTTTTTTGTCGTAGTTCATTTTACAGACAATATTATCTAGTTTAACAAGAATTTTTTTTTATTTCATCCACGTAGAAGGCCGGAATCACTGCAGCAGTTAAGGGCCTTTTTTTGTCGCGCCGTTGAAGATCGACGATAACTTAAAAAGTATTTAATTTTTTTTATTCAAAAATTTTACTATGTATTCTGAAAACATGTATAAATATATTTCTAAAATTTTGAAATGATTGATAAAGTAGTTTTTTTAATATAAATTCCCAAAAATCACCTTTTTTTTAGGCGGTTACACTAGTTGTGCCCCTTAAATAATAAAAATATAATTGAAGATTTGCAAAAAACTGCAAGAGCTTAGTGAGATCATAGAAAGCTTTGATAAACGTGTAACGATTAAAAAACGTAGATATGTAAATTCAAAAAATAAATATTAGTATTTGTGGATCACAATATCCATCAACAAACAAACACCATCAAGTATTGCTTTGTATAAGCAAAAGAATCGAATAAATATTAGTATCAAACAAAGTCCTTTATCTCACCCGACTTGGAATTGACGAAAACCAATAGGGGCGAGCAACCCTGCGGTCTGGTCGCCTCCCATGTCTCCTCGGAGCCCACAGAATGCAGAGCGGTGGGCGGCACGACGCTCACTTTACTCGGGCCGAGGGGGCACTTTACTTTGTGAGCGGGTCTGCAAGCCGTATGAACTGTCGCACGACACCAGAGGCATCGCCAATCCTGTAATCTAAAATAGAAGGCGATATAAATGGGATAAATGATGTGCCACAACATACAACATATTCTATGAAGTTTAATAATATTCATTAAGTATAAACTCCTAATTGTTTTCGCATTTCAACTACAAAATTATGCATATAAAAGCTTTTACTATATTTTATTAAATTTCATAAACTTTTTACTGATGTATATAGAACAAAGTGACTGGAACAAAAATTTCAAGATAAACTTAAAAATATAAAAAAATGTCCAAAATTCACATATAAGGGTTATTCTTTTACAAACCTAACACCAATTAACCTTGACATTTTAGAATTGTCTGAAAATTTGTTTACAGATACTATTCATAAAATCATTTGACACGTATTAAAAAAAAATTAAAGAAAATATTCCGATTGAAATTTGGATAATTTGCTCAATTTTGATGGACTTCCTCTGCATTAATCTTAATATCTCCAGTTGTGGTGAACAGATCAGTGTGATTTTTTTATTATACTCATTTTGAATTCAACTTTCAGTTATTGAAGAAAAAAATTGTTTTTGCAATTTTTTAACAATAAAAGCAGTCTATTGTTAACATAGGATTTACATACCCTTTTCCCAACTCGAATCGATTGAAATAAACAACATAATTTTTCTTTTACTCTCTACTACAAAATCTGTAATCTATAGGTACGACCCATAACTACTAATAAATATAATATATTACAGGAAAATGTTGCAAAAGGTTTAATTCAAAATTTTATTATGTAAGTGTATATAACAGATTTTATAAGATTTCAGTAAATTTGTAGTTCAAAAATAAAATATCTATCTATGTTTCTAAAAAAATTTGTCTTAAATCCTAAATTAAAAATAACTTCCAAAGTCGGAAGGAATAAATTATCAATGGTGTAATTTTGCACGTATTTTTAATTTACTATAAGTATATTAATTTTTTATATATTTTATATTTCCCCCTTGTTTCATGTTAATTTATAGATATATCATTTGCAAGCTTTCATGTATTTCATGTTCCATTAACACTAGTTTAATTAGTGTTATTAGATATATCATGTTTAATTATACTATTTTTTTAAGGAAAATAGTCATGAATGTAAAATTATACATTTTACATAGAAAATTAAGCATTATTTACATAAAAATTTTAATAAGTGTTATTAGAGATATCATGTTTAATTATACTATTTCTTTAAGGAAAATGTCATGAATGTAAAATTATACATTTTACATAGAAATTTAAGCGTTATTTACATAAAAATTCAATTTTTTACGAAAACTATTATCCTCTAGGTTTCAATTAAAATAATAAATAATTAAGTATAGGGTAGAATGGGGCTTAAAGGTCCGCGAGTAGAAAGGTCAACCACCGATATATCGTGAACAAGTAACGTTGAAAATTTTGTAACAACAATATTTGAAAGTAGAGAGAAAAAATGATGTATTTTTTCAGCCATCACCTTGATTTTTACGAAGTTGCCATCGGGAAATAAACGGCATTGTTTGAAAATCCATTACGCAAGTATTTTTTTTGACTGTATGTTTTAACCCAGCCTATGAGGTAAAAAGGGCCAGGTGACAAATTTTTGAATACCCAAAAAAAACATATTTCTACGATGATTAATTAGCTGAAAGTTTTACTGAACATAGTTAGATAGTTGTTGTTTAATATCACGGACTTAGTTTTCATAATATAATTGCTTAAATTCAAACTGTACCTTTGTGCCCCGTCCTATCCTATACATAAATTGAATTTTTAATAAACAAAAATATATAAAAAAATTTTTGTTTTCATATTAAATATTTTGCCCTATAAGTGACATAAACTATTCCTAAACTTCTTTCCAGTTTTATTCCCCAAAACTTCGTTATTGGATGAATGTCTTTCGTGATAAATGATACAGATTAGACCGACATCATTTAAATCCTTAACTACTTATTCCCGGAAGACTGATACTTGTTTCTTATCCGATTGGATCTTCCTGGGAAATAACCCAAAACTTTTCTGATACTTGCGATTTTGTTGCGAGTATCAGTTTCACCACAAAACTTCGTAGGAAAACTAGAGTTTTTACATCGAAGTAATAGTAAGATACTTCGTATCAACACCAAAAACTTGTAAAAGACGTATAAAACAGTAAAAATATAAAATAATATAAATACTTATATATTATATATAATAATAAAATTTCAATATCGTTATCGTCTTTGAAAATATTAGAAGAGTGCTCATAAATTCTTTATGAAATATTTCCTTTACACCCATTTCTCAGTTATTTCATTTATAGCAGTATAGTTTAATACTTTCCACGTGATATTCAGAGTTCAGAGAAATAGCTAATATTTTGTTTCAAAAGTACGAAAATAGACCAGTAATATGAAGTTCCTTCTATATTGTTATGATCACGTGCATTTCCTATTCTTGCCTTGATTGCAATTGCAATGTCCCCGGGGACAGAAAAATGCTTCACATTAATTAATTTTTATAATTTTGTCGTATTTCACTTTTAGAAATAGACAGATATTGATTGGAAATCAGTTACACGTAATTCTTGAAACGTATAATTCAATAGTTTGTTAAAATTAATTATTTAAAAAAATATGACCTATACCTGTCTAGTCTATTATTAATATTTATAGTTTTGCATTATTTTAGTTTTAAAAATAATAAATATTCAAAAGACACCTAAGGTTATTTATAAATAAATCAAAAAATATTTTACGAAATGTTTATTAAATTATGATTTACGTCAAATAACAAAGTTAGAAATCAAACTAAATTAACAAATGCTCCCCATGCCCCTTTCACTTGTATTTTAAAATGAAAAGATTTATACTCGCTTAAATAATACGTGTTAAATAGAGTGTCCGGTTCTTGGTGCGGTCCGGCGTTACGGGACTTTCCCTTACAAATTATTTTTCTGTCTCAAAAGAAGATCTAAAAAACTTTTCGTTGTCTGTAGCAACTGATATTTTTCTTGTCAAAATAATTGAAATATAATAATAATAATAATAATAAATTTTTTGACGGTTTTTACTACCAATTTATATGAAGAACACAACGCCATGTTACGGTCCATTATATTGAAGAATTGGCTTCTTACTCTTCTTTTCCTAATACAAAAAAGTGATTTATCAATACACTTTTTCACTAAAACTATCCTTTATACCATCTCACATTCCAATATTTGGATAGTCTCCTGGTGTGACGTACCATCTCCCCAGTACAGCGACCTTTGCAAGGTTCAACATCTTTTAACATGACGTACAGACAAAACTGGATACGACACATAACGTAATCATTTTATACGTGTATAATGTGATATTTTTATTAGCCGAAGAGAATATAAAAGATAAAATCGAATGACAATGTGTCGCCCACAATCCAATTCCACTGTCATATTCAACTGTGCATTGGACAACCAACAAATAGAATAAGTCACCAACGTCACAGAAAATATACATTTTCATATGACGAACGTAATATCTTGTCACGTTGGATTACATTTGAAATTGATATATTACAAAAATACAGATGTAAATATTTATTTTTATATAAATGTCATGCAAAGACATAGTAGGCACATGTACAACATACTATATCTTTCCTATTTCTCTAGGAACAATTGGAAATTGAATCTAGAAAAATTGGACAGAATCAGTTTAGAGATTTGCAAAAATTCAAGTTGTGATTTAAAAATGCCTTATAATTTAGCTATCGTAATTAACACTTTAATACAGTGGTTTTCTACCCTTTTCGCACCACGCCTCCTGCTTTAATAAAAAAAATGTTGCAACCCCCTTAATTTTCTCAACACTTTTATTTTATCACAAATTAATATGCAATATTATGTAAAAATATGAATAAAAAATAAATATTATTCTATATTATTGAAAAAATTTTAATTTATTTTTGAAAATCCTGTCCCCCCCCGTGACAGCCAGGCGCTCATCTGAGGGTGCGCGCCCCACAGGTTGGAAACCGCGGCTTTAATATAATATTTGCTTAATTAATATTGATCATTTCTATTAATTATTACCTTAATACTGATCCGCAAGTTTTATCACAGACTGCACATTTGGCCGAAACCGGAAGATTTCCTTCCATCCATTGATGGGGCATCGTAATGTTCTGTAAAAAAACAAAACAAATATTTAGAACTATTAATTAATAATATATTAACATAATTTTATAATATATAAACATAAATGTAGAATCTATATATTTTTTAAACTCCCTACAAAAATATAGAGTTACGTGACGAGAAAAGCTCAGCCAGTAGCATGCCCGGCTCACACGCCAAGGACACTTGGTTCGAATCCTGGCACTGACATAGAATTGTCATTTGATTTTTTGAGTTGAAATTAAGTAGAAGTAAAATTGTTGATTTAGAATAAACTATAATTAAAAGTTAGAAGAAGAAGCAAGGATTCAAAAAGAAGTCAGTTGCATAGAAAATTGGATAGTATAGGATACTATTATATATATATTATATGTTTATATTATAAAAATATTATATAATATAATAAACATAGTATAAAATGTAAAAAATGTTGTAGGTACGAGTAAATGCTCTTTGTAAGCAAGGCTAATAAAAATAAAAATCAAAGGAAGCTTAAATTTGCAACTAACAGTTCATCAAAAGTTTATTTAAACAAGAATTGATTGTTTGTGAATTTAATATTATTTGCATGAATAAATATTGCATGTTATCTAAAAAACTGTTATATCCAACTACTTATTAATTAATAATAGAATTGTTCTGTGTATTTAGTCTTCCAATACGAACGCCAACAATTTCATCTAGGTCAAAGCAATTAGTCAAACATTCAACTGTGAATACAAACATTACTAATGAATAGAGTCTTCAGCATTTATATCTTGATTAATATCGAAATTATCAACGAAATACAATCATCAATTCAATAATTGAAGAAAAACTATATTACAAAATCTACTTTTCATTTTTTATGGCAGGAATGAAACATATTTAAAAAAATTTATCACTTTTCTTAGATATTGATTATTACCGTATATAATATATACTAATACATACAATATATATTTAATATTTGTAGTTCACATTGAGTATAAATAAATAATGAATATATTCATATTTTATTAACTTGTAATGTTAGTTGAACTATATTAAAATAATTGCTGTACAGATATTACTTACAATGTCATTAGTATTTTATCAATTCACCAGATTTAGATTTTAATATTAAATTACTTCAATATGGATAAAGTTGCAAAATAGATTTCCAGAACAGCACTAAATCTGTTATTGATAACAAAACTAATTAAAACTGCGAACTAGTTATTGCTCATTCCATTAGTAAGTTTGTTTCATGACAACTTGCATTAAAATCCTGCAAGTTTAATCATAACGCTCAAGTTAGTCTGTAATTGCAAATTACATTTTGATATCTTTTTGGGAGAATAATTTCAAAGTCTCGTTAATTTTGTATGCTATAAATGTTGTAGCAAAAGTTTTTGAAGAAAGTTCTAATGGAAGGTGCACTTTCGAATTCAGAATAAATCATAAAGGATTCTGAGGCCAATGGGCCAAGGGTAATAATAAATTTTATACAAGCATAAACATATATGTATATATATATATATATATATATATATATATATATGTGTGTGTGTGTGTGTGTACATGCACGTTGATAAAAATTAGAAAAAAGCATCGTGTTCAGAAATAAATTTGTTTTGATATTAATTATAATTTCATTGAGTTTAATGCTAAACTACTACTTGACATTTATTTTTTTCTTACTATTTTATGTTTGTGTGTTTTACTTTTATCAGGTTTATCATTTTGCTTATAGAGTTCATTAAATTACTTTATTGAAAAGAAATCGAACATGGTCACGCAAAGTTCATAAGACAAATTAAATAATATACAAATTAAAATATTGTAATCTTGGTGATTAATTTCTAAAATAATATCAATGATCATAAGATTTATATGAAGTAGATGGTCGGGTAAATCTAAATTGATTATTTGAATGAATAAATAAATAAGAGAAAATATTAACAAAATTTTATGAATTGACAAAAAATGAAAAAATTTTTGGAAATACCAAAAGTAAATTTATAAAATCAAAATTAGGAACGAGGGCAGTAGGACTTATGATCTATTAAACCTAGGGCTAAAAATTACGCTTTAAGAAAATTTGTTTGAATGTTTCGATATCGTAAATTCATACAATCTCTAATAATCCATAATAAATTCTGAATATTATATATTGGATTTTCCGAGAAAACATGAAACGACTAGGAAAAAAATTGCGACAGTTATTATTGAGAAAAAAAGGAAAAGTGGATAAAAGGTAAAACTAGCGTTATATACAGGGTGTTCCAAAACTTACACGTTATATAGTGTTGGATTTAACTGTCCTGAAAAAAATAGATAAAACAATCATATCACGTTGTTTGGAAATTAAAGCTTTTGAGTGTAACCAAGAGGTTTGATAAAATTAGAAAAAAAATTCGGTTATTGTGATTAACTTTGTTCATTTAAACTTTGGAACTGAAATTTCTTAATAATAAAATCGTACTTTTGTGCGTAGTTATAGAATTCATTAAAACTCTCTTTCGATAATTCAGGTTGTTGGGTTATAATTTAACCCTTGTAGCTGTGGACTGTATTAAACACTGATTTGTTTGTATATTATGTATCTTGTTGCAGTTCTAATTACAATCACTGATTTGTTACTAAGTTATAATGAAATAAGATATATTTATTTTTATTGGTTATTTACATGTTGTTAAGCGGACTTTACATTTAGAAGTGAACAACTAGTTTTATTAAAACACTTCGCTACCCCCTCTACCAGGGGTAGCAACCATTCCGTGTAAAGCTTAATGCCCTGAAGTTTGTCACCTTCATGGCCAATATAATAAAACGAAAAGACGTCCGAACAAAAATAATCGAATATTTCACCATTTTACAAGACGTATTAAATGTGCTAGCTTTTAATGAAACTTGCCAACATACTTTAGTACATTTTTCTTAAAGAAAGGACTTTCAAAGTCAAACATTTAAATTCATAGTTCAACTAGAAGTCTTCTTTCTTCAGAATTTGGAGCAATTACTTTTTACTGTGATCCTAGAAATGTTATTTACGGTTACGGTTCTAAAATTCCAATAATCAAAATTAAAAAAATAACCGAAAAATGGTCAAAATTTCACCAAAGCCCTGGGTTGCACTAAAAAGCTCATAATATCCAAACAACGTAAGATAAATAATTTTTCACGCTACATTTTTTCAGAACAGTTATGGTCTAACGCCGCGGTTTCCAAACTATGGGGCGCGCTGTCTTTCTGTTGCAGAATACGATTATACATCCAAAATACTATTTTCGAAAATAAACCAAAATTTTTGAAATAATATAAAAAAATAAAGGAGAAATTAGTGTCTTTATACACGTTTTTACATAATATTGCATATTATGTAGTTAATATTTGTAGTCTAATATTGCAGTTGATTATTTAAGAACTAAAATTGTTGAAAAAACTAAAGGGTGCGCAACAATTTTTCTGGGACACCCTGTATACACAAATATTTTACAATTCCTATTTCAAACCGAATTGAAACATCAAGAAAATAAACAGTTAGTAAATAAGATATCCCGGCACCACATATCCTTGTTCCAAAGGAACCTTATAAATAAACAAACAAAACACTAAGTCACAACACACCCAAGTATGCTCTACACGACCCTAAATAACGTACACGGATACATTATTTAGTAACATGTACAGCCAAAACACAACCATAAATATCGCCTCACCCCACCCTGTATAAACAAATATTTTACAATTCAAGTTCCAAACCGAATTCAAACATCAAGAAAACAATGCTAACAAATAAGATATCCTGGGCCCACATATCCTTGTTCCACAGGAACCTTATAAATAAACAAACAAAACACTAAGTCACAACACACCCAAGTATGCTCTACACGACCCTAAATAACGTACACGAATACATTATTTAGTACCATGTACACCCCAAGCACAACCATAAATATCTCCTCACCCCATCCTTGTCCTCTATAATGTCCTTCCCGACGCTGGCGAGCGTGGTCCATTTGCAGTTGCTGACCGCCTTGGCGGCGCACCTCTTGTGCACTTTGCATTTGCAGACCTCGCAGGAGAGACCGTGCGACGTGACGCCCGAGAGAGCGTCGCGGCACACGTTGCAGTAAGTCGGACGAGCGTGAGACGTCGCATACCTAGAAGAGGAATGACAATGATTTATTTATTGGTCAGGAAAATGGAATCCTATTCGAAAACTACTGGAGTTGAAGAGTTACCTATCTTACGATACCTAAGACCATCAGTTCCTACATTTATATATAAATCTATTACCGCTTCATCGTTATTTGCTATTAACCTATTATATATAATAATATGCACCCTACGTATCTTTTCACCCCTTACAATCCTTACATTCTACTATTTACACGCTATATTTTATTCTTATCTATTATCTATCGCCCACACCGGGATTTGAACCCGGGACCACCGCGTGGCAGTGGAGCGCCTTGACCACTACTCTTTGGGTCAAGTTTGTTTTTGATAAATTTATGAAATAAACATTACAAAAACCATGTAATTTTTAATGCTATTATAAATATATAATTTATAATTTATTATTATATAAATGTGTATAATGGTCGACACTAATAATGTGTGCATCACGAGTAATATAGTAATTACTAATAAACATTATTCAAAACTGTTATATAATGTATTTATTTTTACTTAAATGCCATCTTGTACAGTAGCAAATAAATTTTACTTCAATCGCATGTGAACTAGGGTTTATACAAAAACCGACATTTCAGAAAACCGGTTTTCGAATTTCAATTTTACTAAAAAACCGATTTTAACCGGTTTTCGAATTTTATATAGAAAATAAATTTTTGCTCGAATATTTTGTAATTAATCCGCAATTTTAGTGTAATTTAGAGCAGTATTTAACTGAATTTATTTAATGTTCAATTTTATAGATAGTAAACAAAATTATTTTAATTTTAATTAGTAGAACTAAAAAATAATAGTATATCTTGATTAAATAACATTTAAACGAAAATAATTATTCGTTATTCATGCATGATTTTCACATATAAGAATGAAAATATTTTTATGATAGTGAAAGGAAAGTTTTCGAATGAATTAATTAAAAATAAATTAAAAAAAAAATAGATACATGTTGATACAAACTTGTTAATATCAAGTTTACTTTTAAAAAAATTAGCTAAACTCGAGTATTGTCTGTTCCGAGCAATTATAATTAATTAATTTTAAACATTCTAATTATTTTTCTGTTCTAGAATATGATTTCAAGAAACTGAGAACATCTATCGAATTGCTACTTAGACGTGTCCTTTGTTTACTCACAAAAATTCCTGAAATAGAAAATTCTCTTATACTTGCGACCAAATTATACTTAATTGTTATTAAAGCCTCATATAATAATTCTAAGTTTTTTGTTCTTTAATTTGTGGCTTCTAGGGTTTAATACTCTTTTTTTTCAATTGAGTAGAGAAAGTTACTTCTTCAAGAAGAAATCACACTGATTTAAATTAATACATACACTGGTATAAAAATCTAAATTAACATATATAAAATCTTTCTGGGAACCATTGCAGACTGATAAGATATCAAATGCTATTGAACCGATATGATTTCAAGAATAAAAACGCTTTCATCTATCTTTTATATTTGGTTATGTTTGTCATTTTCCATTTATACAGTGAAAACCTACTTTTTTCAATAAAAAACCGGTTTTCTAATTCCATAATTTTCGCCAAAAAACCGGTTTTTAAAACCGGTTTTTGAAAACATACAAACCCTAGTGTAAACCTTACGCGCACTCTTTTTTGAAGTTTAAACTTTTCAAAAAAGTTAGAATTTTTCAAAAATTTCAAAATTCTCAAAAATCTAATTTTTTTAAATATTTCAAAAAATTTTAAAGCTTTTTTGAAAATGTTAATTGTCTTGCACCACTAGTTATTTTATCAAAAGCTCATCAAAGTATGCCCAATGACGTTAAATTTTTCAATCAATCGATAGTTTGAATCGCTCACATCGCGACAGGTGAATAATTTAGTATATTATAGCACAAATTACTCGTCAAATATGGAAATAATATTTTTCCTTGTCAATTTGAATGTTATCTATGACGTCGCTCTATATTATCCGAAAAACATGCTTTGTATTATCTAAATATACATTTCCCATTAGGGTTTTGGATATATTATTTACACAAATAATAACAGAACACAGAAATAATTGTCCGCTTCAATTATGTGTCTCGTATAAACATAATCGATCGATTATTATGAACACATGAATAATTATTGTGGACATTTTACATTTGTATTTTAAGGATTTAATTATGTAAAACAAATAATTCATTACTGTTTTTTTAATTTGTTATATGTATTACAAATAATTGTTAATTGAACTATTAGAAAATTATTTATGAAAAAAAAAATATTTTTTATTATTTGATATACTCATATATATGAATAAAAACAAAATAACTTTTGAATAGGCGTGCCAAAACTTTTTAAAAAGAAAGTAAAATTGGATTGGAAAATATTATATGAATAGATAATTTTATTGTTGTTCTCTAAACTAGATTCTAATTTCCTTTTCCCAAAACAAACATAAAATCTCAAAATACATTTCTGATCCCATCAACAATTTTATATTAGCACAAAAAATGTATTATAAAATCCGTTCATACAAACTTTCGATCAAAACTCAAACTTTTCTATTCGAGCATTTTTATTCTCAGAAGGCGAAAACAACAGGAAGTTATTCAAACTTTTTTCATAAAACTTAAATCTTTCTAATACCGTACTAACGCTTAAATATTATATCTGCGCAGTAAATCTTTATTGCATTTCATATGAGCTTTTAATCCATTATTAACAAATCTTTTCTACTTTCGAAAAAAAAGTTATAAGAAACTAATAGGTGCTGATTACTAAGAATATTGTTGGTTCAGAAAGTAAAAACAAAGAACATCTCGCAAATTGATAGTAATTATTTAATAAATACCTACCAAGTACATAACTAATAAATTAATAATTATTCTAATAAATTCGTAGATCTCATGAAAAACAACTAACAAGGAAACGCCTAATTTCAAACAGACAATAGTAAAATTTGGAGCTGAATTCCCACTCTAACATTTATTAACTCAAATAACCCACATACTAGTACATGTTTCGCAATTATTTAAGCAATTACAACTTCTAAACAATTGCAATTAAAACACAAACTCAAGTAGGAAACTGCAAATACTCTAAATAAATTAACAAGCAAATACTCGACTATAGTGATCTTGTGAAGAAAAATTAGATCCCAACTAGGAAAGGGAAATTAGACTTCTCACATATAGCCTTCAAATTCATAATGCCATGTTCATCAGATTTATTAGAGGCTAATTATATAATACAAAATCTAGTTTTTAATCTTTTAGTGGAAATTGGCGCATTTGTTAATGAAGTTTCTATAAAGCTCAAGAATAAAGCCGCTTATAAAAAGTCAGAACCTACTTCTAGGAAAATGAATATTTTTAACTAATGAAAATGTAAATAGATTGTTTTTGCATTTTGGTATTGCCTTCTGCATATTTATATATCTTCATGATGAATATATGTATTTTTATTCGATTTTAAATTATTTTTCTCATGATTGATTGTTAAACTGTACGGATCAATTTATCAAAGTTAAGCCATTTACTCTGATCGTTCGTGTAATTCTGACACATAGGATTCCATAGGATTAGTCCTGAACATTTGAATGATATTACATTTTCCTTTGATTAATGATGTGGATGAAAAATAATTTTAAAATCATTACTCACCAGTGGTGATCTCCTGATAAAAAATCGTGGACTCCTTGTTCATAGTAGAGGCGATTGGAGGCGGCTTTCAAGGCGGACAGCCAGTCCTCCATTTCTGGTCGTGTTTCCGCCATAAGTACTAAAGATCGATTCGGTGTTATCACCTGAAAAAAGAATAAATTGTTGCATTTTTTTCATATGGAAAGGAACATGGATTTGTTGTAAAAGAGCTCAATAAAATCGATGAACATTTGCCATTGGATAAACTTTCCCAAAGTTGATAGTATTGTAGGAAAGAGCATAATATTCAGATTTCACTCTTTTATTTCTTTCACTAAAAATGGCTTTATATGAACAAGTAATAAAATACATGTTATACGTAATAGGAGGTCAAAGAACTGTGTAATAAATGTTCTATTACTTACAAAATCGTAAACCATAAAATTATATATATTTTTTTATTTTATTCACGATTATGTTCACAATTGGCCAGTTAAGGACATTTAGTAAATTTGTGAAATTTACAATTATTACCCGTGAAAGGACATTATATATTATAGTGACATGTTGAAAAAACAAGTCAATAGTTGTTTTTCCATTCATTGTGAATAATATTAACAATATTTTAATGATAATAATATAAACTTAAATATTTTCTTATAAATAATTTTTTATAAATAATATCTAAGTCATAGGAAAAAATTATATTAAAAATAAGATATTTATTTTCAATAATTTTCAATTTCGAAATAACGTGTTTAAGTGACTTATATTGCTTATTATTTTAAATCCATAAATTTCAAACAGAAACTACTTTATTCTTTAGCTTTTATATTGTGTCAATTATAATGATTTAGAATCATTGTTTGCAGAAGAAATAATGATGAAGAGATGTATCATAAATCAAATTTCAATTTACAACTATATATGTTTTCTTGTTTTTTAATGGTACAAATTTGTTTTATATACACAAATGCACACACACACACACATATATATATATATATATATATATTGCATATAATATTAAATTACAGATATTTTGGAATTAAGAAAAATATGCTTTATATTGAATATTGTGTACCTAAAACATACTAAAAGCTTTATTATTAAAATTTTAAAAATTGATATAATTTTCAAAAATATTTTGAGTCAATCCCTGATAAAATTTATTAAAAATCATATTTGTACAGTTAATTATTAAATCGATTCATAAATTCATTCAACACAATTAAAATTTCAGTTTGAAACCAAATATCAAATGAAATTACTCTGAAATTTGAAATGAAATGCATTACACAATTAATTCTTAAATTCGTTGATAACAATGTAAAAATTTAAAGAAATTCATTTAAGTAATAATACTACAATGAAAATTATTAATTATTTATAAATAATGTGGATATTTTCTATATTAATCAATTGAAAATTATGGTTTTCTTAGTTCAATTATCAAAATTGATTGCGATATATTTTAATTCTTAATTTTATAATATTTATTAAAAATCATATTAGGACACTCTGTGTTATATAAGCTCATAATTAATTTAGCATACCTATATCTTATTTTTAATACCAAATATCCGATAAAAAATAAATCACTCGTTAATTACATCGTTAGAAAGTATGAAAGTATATTTAAACCAATTTTTACATCTAAATTAAAAAAAAAATAGTGATATGAACAATTAATGCTACATTACGACTGAATATCATGTTGGGTATAAAATAAAAATAATTTATTATGCTAATGCAACTTTTAACATTTCCAAGATAAAAAAGCAATGTCCAAGAGCGAGTATAAAAAACCAAAAGCACAAAACAAAGTTATTTATTATCCCAGGGGGTATAAATGGCCGTAAACATTTACTTTATCATCGAACGCATTCCATTTAAGTATCCAACATAAAAATTCTTTATATGTCATTTTCACCATTATCTGCAATGAGGGAAATAAAAACGCGACACGTATTTCTTTTAGTTCGCCTTTATGAGGAGAAATTTACAGAGAAAGTCGGATGCGGATGTTATATAGGTAAAAAGTTCTTACTTGGAAACTGTGGTTCACGTTTTTAGTACTGCATTCCGCCACACATAGGTTTGCGAGCTCGATTTCATCGAATAAGACACTCTGGAAGAGAAAGAGCATATGTTAGCATATTAAATTTACTAATTTATTAGAAAAAAAATAGTGCTGCATAGCACAATAAGGTACAAGCCTTAAAGGAAATTTTTGGAACTCAATACGTGTAAATTTTAGATCTGGTTCCAAATTTCAGATCTTGGTCTAAATTTTAGATCTGAACAAGTTTAATTCTAACTTAAAAACATTTGACCAAAACTGTAAATTTGCAGTTAAATAATCTGATTACAGTTTATAAACAGGTTCATGGATTCCAAACCTCTTTACAATATGCGGTTTCAGAGTACCTCAAGCTTTAAACTTAAGCTCTAGAGAATTTATAGCACTTTGCTGAAGTAATAGGAGATCAAAGTAAACTAGATTTGCGGACGATCCCACATGAAAGTCGATCTTAACGCAATTTAAAATGGTTGAACCTTCCAAACAGTGTTAAGAAATTCAATTATAAACAGCTTCTATAAAATCAAAAACTAAATTCATAAAATCAGAAACATATTGTGCTTGCAACGGGAGCAGTAGATATAAATGTAAATGCACTGGGATATAGTCCTAGATATTCGATGAATCTCTTCGTTAGAAATAATAATATATAAAATAGAGTGCTGAAGTAAAGTTCAGGATTTTCTTTGACTACAGAAAAGTGAAGTTAAATGACCTAGATAAAGAAAAATGTTTGTAAAAAATATAATATTAATAATAATAGTAGAAACGCGATTCAAAATAGGTACAATTTTCATTGTTTTTTAAAACTATTTATTCTCAGGTAAATAGCTTAGTTGTTCATAGTTAAATATACGCAATCGTTCAATTAAAATACATCATCATAATGAAGTATTTATTCATAATTACTATTTATTTATATTTACCATTTATTTATATTTCAAACATCATTAGCACAAAACTTTTAATGAATGTATTCTGTGGTTGAACACGAAAACTTCTGATTATTTGTGTTAAATAGTCATTAATTAAAACTTACACCGCAATATATAGTATTTAATTAAACACATGATAAATTTTAGTTCCTTTTGAAGTTCATTGGAGTTTAATGCTCATACGTTTATTAGCTTTCCAAATATTAATAAATCTAGGCAAAGCAGTTTATGTGTTTGATTGTCTGTAATATTAAATATGTGTATTCTGCATATTGGGTAGCTTTGTTCAAATCCCATAGTCTTTTGATCTCAAAGAGAACGAATGAAGTTCATATTACTAGATCTGGTAAACAGAAAAACTTTTGTATTATAAAAATATTTGGAATCCTCATAACGTACATAATATTCATATACAGATATGTAATACTAATAATAATAAAAAAAACTTT